CGAATTCAATTAGTGGGATAGTCAAGGAATGAGGTAAAAAAAACATGCTTTGGGTTTTTAAGACTCTCTTAAAACTTGTGATATTTTCTTAAGTGACCAAAGGAAATGCACTTTACTGCTAACTTCTTTGGCTGGGTTGTAATCATTCCATAGATTATAGATACCATTTGTACAAGGTAGAGAACCCTGTAAGACTGTGAACCGGAGACTCATTCTTCTATCTACTCTTGAAAGGAGATGAGATGCATGCATCATCAAAGGAAGTGTCTGAAACAGGTCATTGTAGGAACCTTACGGACAATGGATGGAATCCAGAAGTAAGGAGGGAGACTCTTTATTACAGGGAAAATATACAAAATATTTCTCTTCCTGGAGCCTTTGATTTGATCCACACTCCGAAGAATCAACTATTTAAAAATTCAGCCAAGGAAAGAGTGCCAAGAATACTGTCACAAATTCGGGAGGTACTTCAGCCAGACCAACAGCTAGCACTTGGCACTGAAGGGCTCTCTACACAATAAACAGCTGACTCAGAAAAAAGTTTTACTCAGATGAATTTATTAAAATGCTGAATATCATCCCAAATAAGTGGATGGATGATATATTTAGGTCATCATATACAATTAAATCTGTTTTAACTTCCTGATGGTCTTAGAGAGAGCAAATGTTATCCATATTTCTATGGGTAGACATAGCTACCCTTGTATCTATAAAAAAAAGACACAAGTAGAAACTCTTTCTTCTTAGCAAAAGGGTGTCACATTGTTAGCTGAATATTCTGGAGAAACGGTTTAGGGAGGGAGAGAGGATACTGCAAGAATGGAGTGATCCCTTTTAACATGATTGTTGTTATTAAATGCCATGGAGTTGGTTCCAACTCACAGTGACCCAGCACAAGGTTTCCAAGGAACAGCTGGTAGGTTTGAACTGCCCAATCTGTGGTTAAAACTAATCTTGCAGTTCAGTGCTTATCCTATAGTGCCATACCAGCAAATATGATCGTAGACATTACAAGTTAAAAACCATACTGGTGACTTGCTTCAGGACCAGAGATTGCCTGTAGCAGACTGGTACTATATTTATAAAAAAACAAAAAAACCTCACTGCCATGAGTTGACTATGACTGACATCAACCCTATAGAATAGGATATAGGATACAGCAACCTATAAGAAATAGCAAACCTAAAGGGTGTCCAAGACTTTAAACCTTCATGGGAATAGACATTCTCATCTTATACATTGTTGTTTAACTTCTGTCAGGTCAGTTACAACTCATAATAGCATACCTGTACAGGTTTTACAAGACACTAAATTTTTGCAGACGCAGAAAGCCTCATCTGTCTTCTGCAGAGTGATTCGTGGCCTCGAACTATGAACCTTGTGATTCACAGCTCAGTGCTTATACTACAGAGTCACAATGCTCCCCCTTAAAAATCAGGTAAATTATAAAGGAGAAATGACTTTGTAACTGGAAGAGGCTACCAAATTCTAAAGGACCCTGGCTTCTATGTGGCTACCACCACTGGCATTATCATAAATAGAGCCTGGCAAGCCAGCTCTTTACATAAATCCAGCACCTAGGATGAGTTCCTAAGGACCATTGTAACTCAAGACTAATTTTCCAAAAGAAATAAATGAAAGAAAAATACAGGGAAGGTATATTATTGGGACTGTATAACCATTGTAGCATAGTTTTCTTTAGTGTAGATTTGTATTTTGTCAGAATGCTCTCAAATGTTTGACAAGATGCTCTCTTCTGAGTTAAGTATTATTGCATGCCAACTTTGTAGTTGTTTTTCTGCATCTGCACTGGTTCTACAAAGACCCAATGAAACACATGATGGTACTTTGTTAGAATATGAAATGTTTTTAAAATATGTTGAAATAACAGCACAGTAGCAATCAAAGTCTACTTTAAAATATCTAATGTGTTTAAAAGAGATAGTGCATATGATACAAGACTAGTAGATGATTTTGTTGTACCAGTAAAATTAAACCTCCATGTGGTATTTACAATTAACCGGCTTGCAAACTATAAAATCATGCAACTATTAAATACACACACACATACACACACACACACACACACACACACACATATATATATATATAAATTTTGTACTTAAAATAATTCCTTATTAATTTTTTATTTTACACTATTAAAATAGATCACTGACGTTAACTTAAAATATTATAGCAATATACAAAAATGATTATATAATAGTCTCATTTTAAAAGAATAAAAATAGCTTTAGTTATTGGCTAACGAATAATTTTCTTAGAAGCTGACAAATACAATAATAAGATTTGCTTTTCTGGAAGAGGCTAGAACATTTTATTATTTGCTCATTTGCAAAAACCAAATTGATAAACAATTTTAAAAACCACTTCAACATTTTATCTAGAAATGTTCACCCTTTTTTGCCCATATATAATAAAGTATTAATTTTCAGGTATCAATATGCTTAAGAGAACTATAATCTTAAACACAAGAGTACCATGTGCTTACAATGAAAATAATATAGGCTATCCTTCAGTTTCCTTGGATATGAGAACTTCCTTAAGGCTCCTAAAAACTGTTTCCAGTAGTAGAGTGTTTAACAGAAGAGGTTGATGAGAACAAGCAGCATGTAGTAATTTATCACTCCCACAGACATCTTTTATTTCCCAGTGATCTAACCTCTTGGGCTCTTTATTAGAGAAGGAACAGAGTGGGTGGGTGGGGGGAAATCTAAGAGTTGTGAACAGCCCTTCCCTATTGTTAACACTAGAGAATCTGGAAGAAAGTAGAAAAGAGAAAATACCACAATCTTGCCTTGGAACATGATGGAAGTAATGAGGCATCAGGGCCACTCCCTGCTGAAAACATAATTGGCACATAAACACAGGAGATGTTTGGTGATAGGAAAGACATCTTTGTTTCAAAAACGGAAAGATGCCAACAAATCACAACCTTCTGTTGTTTGGAACAACAATTCCAAAAGTCAAATGGGTATTTTTCCCCCCAAAATTATGCCCTCCTAGAGAAATGGGATTACTGCAGTATTCGATAGTTTAATAGCTTGAAGTGTTTTAAATTAATGTGAAGAAAATGAGGATGAAGGGAGGGAAGTCAGGATACTTGGCAATGAGGGAAAAGCTTGTATCTTCAGATCCCCAAACCATGTTAAAGAAAGACCCAGGAAGCCTGTAGTAGAGTGATCCTTGTGAACTTTCTAAAGAACATCTGGGAACATGTCCATGAATTTTTATAGAATATAATTCAGTCAGTGTATAACATCCTTTGATGACAGGCAAATGGATCTCTCGCTCTCTTTTTTTTTTTTTTTAAGACAAAATGAACACATATTCTTATTCTGGAAATTCTTACTCTGCTTACTTTAATGTGTAAATCATCATGGGAAAAGGCCTAAAACTTTCCTGGATTTCCTATGCAATTTTTCTAGTCATAATGTTCTGCTGGCATGCATGCAGGTTTAACAATTTTGATATTACAATCATTTTTTTGGAAACCTTTATTCTTCTCAAACATTCTAATTCTGAGTCAGCATACATTACGCTACTGTACACAAAGCCAACCAGTAATTCATCTTTGTGGAAGTCAGAGACATCTCATGTATTAATTAGCAAGCCTTTCAGTGACTCGTGGATGGAAACAGGTTCCAACTGCTACTCCAACACGGCCAGAGATTTCCAGGAAGGGGATATAAAGTAACTCACAGGGAGTCTCTTACCTGACTTTTGTCCTGCCAATGAATAGACATTGCTTTCATCTGGCACTGAGGAGGGAAAAAAAATTAGAGAGGCAAGATCAGCCATTTGTTTGATTTATAAATTAATACAGATTCATAATAAGTTAAATCTTTTACTGGCAAAGATTTGAGAAATTTACCCCTGTCCATTTGGATATGTCATTTTTATAGTTGGATATTTTAAAGACAGCTAGGAAGATATATGTTTATTAACCTTTTATAAATAAAATTTTCTTTGCTTTTCATTTTCAACACTTTCAGTATTTTTAGCTGGGTTGTACTCTCCATGTCCCCAAAAGGGGAACCTAAACCCATAAGCCTAAAGACTTGTGTTGTTGTTGTTAAGTGCCATCAAATTAGTTCCAACTCATAGCTACCCTGTATAGGGTTTCCAAGGAGCAGCTAGTAGGTTTGAATCACTTTATCCTAAAGTGCTACACTAGGACTCCTATTAACAAAGATGATAATTAATAAAACTCTTTGACTGCAACAGCAAAATATAGATGTAATACTCAAGGATTAGACTTTTGTATCTGGTAAAATGGAGAAACAGGGGACAGATGTACATTTTTCCTGAAAAACACTGACAAAATAAATGAGCAGAGGCAGTGATGATACTAGACACCAGGCAAAGGACAGTGACTTCGGAGAGATGGGGAACTATCATCCCTCCCAGCACACTCCCTGGAAACGTTCCAGATTGTGGTCAGCACAGGTAGAACATGGCAGCATCTCTAGGCTAAGGACCTGAAGCTAGGAAGTTAGGAAAGCCAAGATATCTTAGGTTTACAGAGCAGAGCACTGTAAAGGAAAGAGCTGTACAGAAAGCAGTCTGAGATCTGCAAAGGAGCCTCTCATGTATCAGTTGCATGTGAGGAAACTACTCAAAACCTGGAAGAGAACTCCCCCTAAGCAGAAGTTCACCCAGAAGCTATTCAAAAACTTGCTAATTAGGGGCATGGTTTAGTGTATGAAGCAAGGTCTTGTTTCTATAGTGCAGAACAATGAATCCTAGATTAACAGAGTTATGATGAAATAGGTAATTTTTTGAAAGACATAAATGACCCCTAGCTTACACAGGAAGAACTCATCCGAATAACCTTCTAATTATGTTTAAGAAAAAATTTAAAAATGAATTTGCATTTAGAAACCTTCCCACAAAGAAAATATGGGGCCCAGATGACCTCATTGGTGAATTCTAGCAAACATTAGAGGAAGAATAATATTAATTCTATAAAAAAGAGTGTCCCCCTAAATTCATAGAACAAAATACTTCCGACTCATTCTGTTATTAAGTGCTGTTGAGTTGGTTCCAACTCATAGCCACCCTGTATAGAGTTTCTGAGGAGTGGCTGGAGGGATTAAACCTTGTAGTTAGCAGTCCAGTGCTTATCCTACAGTGCCACACCAGGACTATTATCAACCTGATATCAATATCAAGCACAGGTAGATGCAAAATTCTTAATCCTTAAGCATCACTGTATGAATTCTCAGTTCAAAATTCAATGAACTCTATTTATTCTTTACAATGTGCCATTTTTACGTTCATCAATAATAAGAGGACTCAGGTTCTCAAGGGAAGTGGAAACCAGGTGAAGCGCCTTCCTTTCTGCTAATACGAACTCAGTTTCAGATCAGTGCCCCCATCCTTGTGCTACTCAAACAAGGAAAAGTCAAAAAGTATTGCTACAAAATCAAAGACACCTTCATTAAGCAAAAATGTTACACTGTGAAACTATTGTTTTTTGGCATATCCTCCATCTATACGCTCTGATGGTAGTGTTCCAATCTGCCTAACTCTGACCCCAAGAACTGTGAACTTTTTGATTTAAGCCATATCAGCAGTTTGGGAATCCTTGAAGGACACACGTTGTGTTCATTTTCAATGTTCTTTGAGTTTTAGGAACATAAAGAAGTCTGTAGGGGAAAGATCAGGGATGTAGGGTGGATGGGGTAAGGTTTCCTAACAAAATTCTCATAGGACAGTTTTCAAGTTGCTACCCTTGAAGAAAAAAACAAGTACATTGTGTGACAAAAAACTATTTCTTATCCCACTTTCCTGGTCTTTTTCTTATCAATGTACTTTACAGTTTTCTTAAAAATTCTTCCTAATAAGCCTCCATCATTGTCCTCAAGGAAATTCATCAAAATTACTCCTTTGTTGTTGTTCAGTGCCATCAAGTCTGTTCCAACTCGTAGTGACCCTGGGTAAGGTTTCCAAGGAGTGGCTGGTGAATTTGAACTGCCAACCTTGTGGGTGAAACTGACCTTTATTCCACAGCAGTACACCAGTACTCCAGATTACCCCCCTTAGAATCCCAAAACAGCATTTGCATGACCTTCTAAAGTGACCTTTATGCTTTGAATTTAGCCCCACAGATCCCCTCAGAGGCCACTATTTTGATTGGAACTTTTTTGTTCTTTAAGGCACATAACTACCACCACCACCGATGACACTAAGGTGTCCTGGTGTGACACTTCAGGCTAAGCACTGAACTGCTAATAACATGGTCGGCGGTTCAAACCCACCAGCTACTCCTCAGAAACGTTATACAGGGTGGTTATGAGTCCGAATGAGCTTGACAGAAGTCATCAACAACAACAGTGAGACTCGGACAAGAGTGTTCGAGAGAGACCCTGTCTGCAGCCATCTACTGATCACAGAGCCATGTCTAAACAAGTTTTGTTTAGAATCAACCCAAGCATATTTAAAGCAGAACCCTAGTAGCAATACTTTTTTACTCAACCTCAAATTCATTAATGTCCCCAAAAGAGCATACCAAAAAACCCCACTGCTATCGAGTTGATATCGACACATAGAAACCAAATAGGCCAGCGTAGAACCCCACAGGACAGCGGAGAAGTACTCGTTAGAGTTTACAAGACTGAACATTTCTATGGGAGTGGGCAGTCTCACTTTTCTCTTCTGGAGTAGCTGGTAGGTTTGAACTGTGAACCGTATTGTTAGCAGCCCAGTGATTAACTCATTGCAACGCCAAGGCTCCATTTGAATTGACCAAGTTATATGTTACTATAAATAGATCTTCCCATTCCCTCCTAACCCTCTTTGTCTATTTATTTTCTAAATAAAAGCATGACATATCTGTGATTTTCCAATTATGACGTAGTTAAAAGTCTTTCTAGACTTGTCTTCATATTTCCAATTGGAAAGTAAGTTAGTACATAATAGGCCACAATTGTGAGCCAAGTGTGTCTTTCCAAGGCCTCAAAATAAACTGACAATCAAACCCACTGCCATGGGGCTGATTCTGACTTGCATAGGGTTTCCGAGACCATACAACTTGATGGGAGCCGGAAGGCTCATCTTTCTCCCATGTAGTGGCTGCTGAGTTTGAACTGTTGACCTTCTTATCCTTAGCAGTCCTGCACTTACCCCGCAGCACTACCTGATATCCTTACTTTGTTGTTGTTAAGTGCTATCAAGTTGTTTCTAACTCAGAGAGACACTGTATAAGATTTTGGAAGAGCAGATGGTGGTTTTGAATGGAAAGCCTTGCAGTTAGCACTCCAGTGTTTATCCTGTGTAACGCAATGCCAGGACTTCAAGTTCCAGTGTATGTTGCTGTTGCTAAGTGCCGTGGAGCGTGTTCCAATTCCTGGTGACCCTGTATAGGGTCCAGTGTTTATACTATAGCGGCATACCAGGACTATCCTTATTTTACAGATTAAAAAAAAAACAAAAATTGAGGCACAACTTTGAAGCTGGAGGAACCAGTTCTTTAATTTAGGATTCTTAATCATATCATTACAGCTGTATAACATTCATGGAAGAGTTGCTATCTGAGAAATTTTAAGGATAAGCAGTAGTATAACATAATGATAAATACATGGCAGATTATGCTGTTAGCTTCTTCTCTTTTTTCACAAAAATGTTGTTGTTAAGTGCCCTCTAGTTGGTTCTGACTCACAGTGATCCCATATAGTGTTTCCAAGGCTATAAATCCTCGAGGGAACAGAATCCTTCATCTTCTGTGGAGCAGCCGGTGGGCTCCAACTGTCGACTTTGTGGTTTTCTGTCCAGTACTTAACCCTACAGAGCTACTGTGCTCATTTTACTTGAATGTGTGCTAATACTAAAAATCATTCCATGGTGACCAATCTTAACTGTTAGCTGTAATTCGGTTGGGCACGTTCAGAAATCTAGAATTTTAATGAGTTCAGGCTGAAACTTTCATAGCCATTTCACAGATGGGGAATCACTCGTCTGAGTTAGAATCCTAGCTAGGTCGTAGCAAGTTATTTTAACTTGTTGTGTCTCAATCTTCTCAGCTATCCAATTAAAATATTGCTTGCTTCATAGGTTTGTGGTATAGATAATATGTTTAAGTACATGTAAAGTACTCAAATGATGACATAGTATTTAATAATATTAATTATTAATATTGTAACTAGCAGTGAGAAAGAAAGGCAGTGTAACGAAAAGTTCAGTAATGAAAGAGATGTAGGAGGAAGCCCAGCTCTCTATCAAGGTTTGTTTTCTTTTAAACCTGATTTCCCATGTTGACAATAGAGATTAAAAACAATACACAAGGAGTTGTATGAACTGAGTTTTTAAAATATGGAAAAGCAGTCCGCACAGCGCCAGGTATATGAAGAACTTGGTTAAAATAAAAGACTTAAAACAACACAGAAAACCCCTTTAGATCTATGGAAGCTGTGAGAGTGATAAAGGTGGTGCATTTGATGCTGGGGTCGTTCTTCCTGGTTTAACGAGCTTCTGATAATAAAGGGGTAGAGGGTTAAGTAGGCAGTGCACTAGGTACCTCCCCATATATTAGCTCATGTACTCATCATCCTGAACCCACTGTGAGAATTGCCACCCAGTCTACCAGGTTCCTACATTACCTTGTAGTGAAAGTAAGACTCAGTTCTGAAGGAAATACAGTGCTTAAATTAAGTGGTCTTAATGTATATAGGGCTATTCTCTAAAAAAGGAATTTGTAGAAAGAGTATTTTATAGCTGTTATGTCTTTATTTGTAGTTTCTTTGTTTTTTTTTTAACATAG